AAAACCGCGAATTTTTGGCAGATAAACTCTTATTACAGGGCTATGGTAACAAAAAAGTTGACAAATCCACTTGCTAAATTTAGAGACAAATCCACTAATACGTGGTGTAGCCAGAATTCATGATACCGAAAAATCGAATGACGACAAAACGTCTGTCTGTGAACAACACTAGACAATTCAGACAATTCTCTCGAAAACTGATATTACTCAATCGATCTGGCTTATTACTTTTAAGATTTGCAATTTTATAAAACAGTATCCACATATTTAATGTTGTCAATTGATAAATTGATAGTACTCTTTCCACGCGTCTAATGCAGAACTAACGTAAAAGATCAGTAAATGAGTAAGGGATTCAAAAGGTCTTGTTTTGTTTGTTTGTTGGTATAATTTCTTAAGTGTTCGGAGAATGTACAACTCACCCAAACTGGTCTTGACATTCACTTTGCTCATAATGTTACCCATTCAAACCGATTCATGTGAACGTGAGAAACATTTCAAGCCAAGAATAGCTAGCAAATGCCCAGTTACACATTTGGGTATGTAGAATGTCTTCGAAGAGAGGGGCTATTGTAGTTAATGTTTGAGAGGATGTGAATTTATAAACGTCCATTTCTTTAAGACGTGGGAAAAGGAAACAAGAGGAGACTAAACAACCGGTGACGTATGTCCGCTCTGACGAAAACACAGAAGCCGCTTTAGCCGTGCAGTCGTTAAATAAACATTCAGAGAGTTTGTTTTTCTTTCATTTTCGAAGTAATGTTATCTTGCGCCTATTCTGTCTACGAACCGGTGCATAAAATGTTCTAAAAGATCTTCTTTCACTAACTTTTACACATTTTACACCTAAAAAATGTCTGTGAAGGATAAAATTTATCATTGTTAGGTATCAAAGTTATCATTGTTGGTTGATCTTTTTGGTCATACCATGATATTTTGTTAGATTAAATTTAAAAATATCTGGGTATGTTTATTTTAGTACATATTCCCTTTATCATGTTCGATTAACTGAATATTTTTTACTAATTCGAAAACACGTGCGTGCGTGCGTGTGGAGAGAGAGAGAGAGAGAGAGAGAGAGAGAGAGAGAGAGAGAGAGAGAGAGAATAATGAGACTAAAATCCAAATGTGCGTTGGATGATGTAACTTCGCAAATGGACGCTGAATTATCGAACGAAAAATTATTTCTTGCGTTAATTTCCCCTTAGAAATCCCATCACAAAATAATCAACATCTATTTGAAAATACGTTTACATACATCTTCATTAAATAATCCTTTAATCAGTTACTAATTACTTATACAATCATTACTAATACTTTATTCGGTTACGTCCGTAGGCAGTAATCTTTCATGTGAGTTCATGGACAACACTTCCCTGCGCAGACGTTCTGCGTAAAAGAGCTTTGTGTGTCTCAGCGGAGGAGTCGAGCGCACGAGTTGTAACCCGAGGTTCCGTTGCTTCGCAGGACGAGACCAGCGTAAGCGATGGGTTCCCGCGCACCAAGCCCATCGACCTGGAGAAGCTGTTCACGCCCGCCACGGACTCGGGAGAAGTCACACCTTCCAGGAACAGTAAGTGTCTGCAAATAATATGCCCCGCTCTACCATTCAATCATGTTGTATTGCAACCGAAACCGATTTCCGATCGAGTCTTAACGATTTCCGCTTCAAGTACAAACTTTGCTATTTCTTTTTTTTTATTTCGGGATTGTTAAACGAAGTTTCCTAATTAAAAACAAAACATTAAATCAATTGGCGTTGAACTCTTACTGTCCACTATATTTATTTTTAAGAAAACTTAATATTTTTTAAATTACTCCTACACTGAAAATTTTTGAGAGCGGATAGAAACACGCGATGTCTACGTCAAAAAACGAACCCTACTTCCTTTGCCCAGCCGGTAAAAATGGGATTCATGCAGGGACGTAGCGTGGCGGTCAGCCGCCCGGGTCGGAGGAAAATTTCGCCGGCCCCCTATATAGGTATTTCAATTGAAGAGACTAAAGTATACTGTAAATATAAAGAACTTTTCAGCAATAACAATCATCATTACTAGCTACTGTACAGGTTACAAATTAAAAAATGCATGTATATATGTTTTAATATAATAATCATTATACATTCATTTAAAGAAGCCTATACAGAATATGTAATGAAAGATTCCGTGCTCATTTCAATCGGTCCGAATCGTAGGTGCGACAAAAATATGAAATCAAATTTTTAAAAGATATTGTTTTATTATTTATTGTGAAATTTTGCCGCCCACTAAAAGCGTCACCCGGGGCGGGACTCCCCTGCCGCCCGCACTGCGCTACGCCTCTGATTCGACGAGACCGTGACGGCGGGATCCTTTTCGTCTCCGAGTCCCACATCCCGAACCTCTTGCCCGCAGGGAAAATGTACTCCTCGTCGAGCTTCTACTCTCCGCACCACCCGACGGTGGAGGACCAGGTGGAGCTGGCGCGGCGCATCTCCAACTCGCTCTGCGACATCAGCAACCAGCAGAGCAAGGGCCAGTCCATGTACGTGAACCGCATGAAGCGCTCCGTCAAGTGGGTGCACGAGGGTAAGTCACGCCTCCGCCAAGCATTCAACGCAAAACCTTGTGATCTCTAGGCGGCGGATTTTGATCACCTCAAACATCGCTAAGAATGATAGATAAAATGCTTTTAAGTGTTTTAGAAAAAGTGTAAAGAAAAAGAAAAATTACGTAAAAATTAGATCAACTCAAGTTAATTAGGTAACTCAAGTTTTTAGATATGTTACCGAATGTCTGTCAAAACGAAGCAACATGAAGCTTAACACCTACTCTCCGTGCTCTCTTTGGCTCTAATGATGTAAGTGACTCTGAAAAACTCAGAGTCCAAATGTTGGTTTTCTATCTCCACCAGAACCTAGGCCAGTACAGTTCCCAGCGATGCATCTTTAATTGTAGAGTCAAATTGGTTGTTGAAGTATTCTGTAACTATTGTTAAATATGTAGGCATTCATCAATATTGTACCCAAATAATCTTTCCTCAAACTCCAAATATGGGATCATGATTATTACTAGGGGCGTATTTTGATGACCTAAAACATCACTAAGAATGATCACCAATGTTATCAACACCAGTTGGGATGAATAAATAAGCTGTTAGATACGTTCCTGAAGTAATCGAGGCTTTTTCTATTCGTTTAAGTGAACCCAGCTTTCAAACTTAGGGGTTTGGAGTCTTCTTTACTAGGAAATCTCTGTCTTTACGTATCCCAAAATCAGCTGAACCGACAGTGTCGTCTAGGCGTTACAGGAACCTTAGACTATGTGCTCACAACCGTTGACAACATTTGGACCAAGAAAATGAAAAGGTTCCTCTAGAATTCTGTGGAGAACATTTGTTTCTCCTCGTAAATATTATTTGAAGCAAGAACCATTAAAATGATATTAAAATTCATGAAAGCAACGAAAAAATGGATTAAAAATAAATAGACAATAACATATGTCAAAATCGACGAAAAATGTAAAAAAAAAAATGTATAAAATGAATCATTTACTTTTGTCGTAACATTAATTTCTATACTAAAGTGAAAAGAGAAAAAAAGACATTTCATTAAAATCTGCCCCCTAGTAGTAACGTTAAGGCGGCATTCCCCGAGCAGCTTGTGCTCGCCCAACCACGGACAGCTGATGTGCTCGGCGAATGTTCGCTTCCTTCGGTATGTCCTAAAGACCGACACGTGGTGGGTAGGGAGAGCACCGAATGTTGGTCACTCAGCAAATAGCGAGCAACTCATCCACACTACTCAGGATTCGGCGAGCTATCGCTTGCTACTCGCCGAATACTGAATGTCTGAAGCCGCCTTTATGCGAATCAACCATTCACATTAAATAACGTAGATATCAGTAAGACGTGAAATTTCGCGATCTCGACGATGTTGACAATGCGACCCTGTGGAGCAGAAAATGAGCTGTTAATGTGATTAGGTGATTAGGTTCTCCGTGACTTAAAACTGTTATAATTAAAACATACTTGTGCTGTAATCTATGGACAAAAACCTACTATAAAAATCACTGCTGAAGGTGAAGAGATGAAACTCAATTTACTCCAAACGACTGTAATGTTTGTTGAAACCTTACCATTTCAAAGGGTTGAATTATGAGTGTAAGGACAGACTGCGCGTCTGGTTCCGAAAAAAGACAAAGCACGGACGTCACGCGCGGTGAAAGTGAAACTTCAAAGACAGGATTTGCATTAAACTGTAGCGTAAAAAGATACTTTGGCAGGGTAATGAAATTTGCTCCATTCCTTCGACGACACTTTCTGGGGCCCTCAGCTTATGGTTTTGGCAGAAGTATCAATATTCTTGGCAGGCCAAAAATAAGGAAGACAATCCAAAGCATTCCATGACACCGGAAGGCAACGCCTGGAACAACAGATGGAAGTTTACTACTTTTAATTGCTCAGTTGCTATGGGACGTATCGAGTTGCGATTTTAAAAATATATTTGTTTTGTTGATTTGTTTGTTTTCTCTGTGTCTGTCAACAGATTTTTTCGTTCCGTCTATCGTAATACAAGAGAGACGAAAAAATCTACAAAATGCGCCTCGCCAAATGAATATAAAATTCTTGATCACGTTCGTCTCTAACGTGTCATTTAGCATGAGTCAATGTGATGGCTTAGCCTGCCAAGGAGTAACACATTCCACCAACATATTTGTTGGTCTCAATACGTCATTTTAATAGAGTGGCCGATGACGCATTTATTTTCGAGTATCCTAAGAGACATTTTGCCCACCGCGTTGGAATTCCTTCCAATCTTTGCTTTATTACTCGATTTAGTCCCCAACTCCCGAATTTTGATCATGTTATGCTTTTAATAGAAGCGTCTAAAACTTTCGAAGAGCGTTCCGTGTTCCATTCATTGCGACTTGTAGAATAGTGCGTGTCTACTTATTTAGTTCGAACAGTTAAAATTGTAAGGCCTACGTGAGGTTTTGGAGGGAGACGAGCTACATTTAAGGTCCAGAAGCAAAACAAGGGGCTATCTCGCTCTTCGCTCAACGGATGAGGAGAAACGTCGAAAACCCGTTCGATTGGGGGTCGAATTCAAAATGGGGGAGATTAAGACAGGCGGATACTATCATCGATCAATTGATTTTTACTGCACAGATAAAAATTCTGAAAAAATGTTGGACGTTGAATATAAGACAAAATCACATAACTTACACCAGACGGACGGAAATTTTGGAAAGGAGAAAAAAAACACTTTTAGGTATCCATGGACCCCAAAACGTGTATTTCCGTTAAAATCTTATCGATGATGTGATTTTCCGTCCTTTCCATTCCTTTCCGATGATATCGATTTTCCGCAGCATTACATAACTTTCTGTAAACTACGTACGTATATTACCCCGAATATACGTACATAAACGAGAAAGTAAAATTAGATGGAGAGGAACTAATTAATACACACTAGCAGATTTCGTTCTTCTCTTCAAATATAGGGCATACTACTAATAATACAACCAAACTGAAATGCCAATTATCGTAATACCTTTTAGCATCAATGCCAGTAAGCATTTTTCAAAGGTTGTATTTACTGTTTGGAGTTCGTGTTTGGTAAGGCATTAAAATAATCACAATATTTTTGGACATATACTTCTTCAAAATCATGGAATGTTATTTGTCATATCCTTCCTTTGATAATTAAAATTGTTAAAAACATAATTTGTTATAATAACTCTATCATTTACCTTCAAAAAATACATATTTTAAACACATTATGTTTAAATAGTGCATGGCTACATTTAATACAACTTAATTTTGGAAATTCCTTTAAATGCATTCTTTATAGCTCGAATTTGAGTATGTTAGAAAAAAGTTCTAGTTTTATAAAGAAATTTATATTTTATTTGAAATTTCTTTATGAAAAGAGATCTCAAAAAAAAAAAAAAATTACTAATTGTAAATTACTTTCAATAAGTAAAATAGGAAATATCTAATCCAACTCAATAGCCTCATTCACTGTTTCATATTGTTATCTATCAATGAATTACCTTCACTATTTTTCTTTATAACACACAAAAAGAAAAGCAATATTGTGATTGCCTTATGGGTTGCAGTAAAACTCATTTCCTCCTAACATACAGACAGTTGATGTAAGTTACTTATCAAATGCAGAAGCCTTCAATTGAGCAAATAATCAGCACCTCCTAGATGCTGAAAATGTGGGTGTAATGTGAGTAGGGATAAAAACAGACTACTGTTGTGTGACCTTTTTAGCAAGGTCCCTATTTAACTAATCATGCAGATCCTCTTGGCTATTGTTCTGTTCAAAAGTAAAGATAGATCAATGGTTGAACAATTTGACCTCTTCAGAAACAGATAATGATTGGAACTTCAAGCAGGCAGGCGGACAGGGCAAGTGGGCAGGCAGGCTGGCAGGACCTTAAAATACAACACAACAACTCCTCCTCCAAGTCTGCCAACTGGGCAGACATCTTTACAGCAGGTTGGAGAGAGAAAGAGAAGGAAGATGAAGACAAACAAAGATAGAAGGAATGAAAGAGAAAGAAAAAGAGAAAAAGGTTTTCCCCAGAGGTAAATAGCATTTATAGCAAGGCTATTTCAGAATACTTGTTGCTTTGTCTGGGCCCCCAACTTCTGGTCTGCAAGGCAGTGAAATAGTTGAGCAGTCAGTGGAGTAGTTTGTGGGTGGTAGGAAGGATGTAGACCCAGGGCCAAGCTCTGAGGCAGGGATGACCACACGAGTTGGCTGGATACCTTGCATTGGGGCTCCACCCCCACCTGGAACAGTAACCTACCTGCCCAAAAAGAGAGGTTCTTTTTCCAATGAAGGTATGATAGAGCTGCAGGAAAAATGTGTTTATCCAGTGACAGTGAACAGTGAACAAGTTTACAAGATTCAGGCATAGCCAATAGTTTTTACAATAGACTAGTGCTTATCTTATCTTCAAATCTGTGCAGTGATCAAAACAAGTGTGAAACAGAATTGAAATTTTGTCGCAATTAATTTGCAAATATCATACACTAGTGCTAAGTATATAGTGCTTCTGTGATAAATTATAAGAAAATATAAAATGATCTGTTGTGAAATGTTTTGTTCAAGATTTATAGTTCCCACATGAAAGCAATTATATTTTGTTTGTGATGTGAAATGTGACTGAAGATTCATAACTTTCAATTATTTAAATTTAAGGAATAACCATTAGGTGCAATCAGCAAAATACCATTGTAAAACAGGCTCACTATTTCTCTCCTCTCTCATCATGTAATATTGTTGTACAATTTTTCATCTGTCTTAAGTGAATATAGAATAGAATTGATACTTCTTTTCTGATTGATATTTTTTATGCTTTATTTATGAAAGTGACATAAACATCAAGGTCATTATCAACCAAGCAATTTGATGTGTACAAGTTTTTGATATAGAAAAAATTATGTAATAACTGAATTTGAATTCATATATAAATGAACACTTAAATAACAACTTTTGTTATTTTAAAATTATATTATTAACAGTGGTGAAAATGAGTCAAGAGAAAAAAGAAATTAGTTATTCCATTTCACTCTCATCTATCAATAAATTTAAAGGATTCATTATTTTACTTTATTTACTCATTACTCAAATTATCAATCTCGGTTTAAACATTACAAATTTCTTGTTCACTTTTTAAAGATTCTACATCATTTAAATTTGCCAAGTAAAATATTAGCCAACATTTAAATTTTAAAATTACTTATTCCTCTAACAAATTTGTATCAGTTTTCTGCAAACACTACTACAGAGTTTGTTACTTTGAGTTTGTTGTCTGCACCTACTTACAGAGTTTGTTATATAGAAGCTAATAAAATGATGTAACCATATTATTTTTTTAAAAGATTATTAATCTTTGCAGGACAAGGGCAGAAAAATGCTCCAGATGCCCCTGAAACCCCTGGCAATGAGAACCATCTCTCATTCAAAATACCAAATGTGGGACCTAAGGTATTTCTTCACGCAGGCACAAACATGATAATAGAGAAATGTTGTTCTCAAATTTTCATTGTGTAATATTTTGTTTAGGAGATGAAATTCAATGAAAGTAAGCCAGCTCTAAAACTTGTGATGGATCCTCGTGGCCAAGTGCAAGATATCACAAGTCTGCGACGCCAAGGCTACAACATTGAAGCCCAGCTAAGTCCTGAAGTTTGCTTCGACTTAGTTCGGGATCTCAATGCACCAAAGGGGAAAGGTAAATTCAGAATATATATATTTCTATCTCACTGAAATGAGTATTTGAACTACGAATGTAGTATTCACACAATTTCAGAACAATACATTCTTAACCTACAATTAATAAATCAGAACAAATGTGACTTTTACTACACTCTTTTGCTCTACTTTTTCATTTAAAATTATTTTGACTTTTTTTTACTACATAGTTAATAAAATATGTAGAAATTTTTTTTAAGTACTATTTTAAATGATAAATTTTCAAAATAATAACTCTTGGTGTATCTTACTAAAGGAAGGTTCATTCACCTCTACCTCAATAATTCACTGTCAAAATATTCATCTTACTATTTATTAATCTTCATACTATTTTCTTTTCAATGATTATGATACAATATTTACTGCTTCTTATTTGAAATAATTAATGATGTAATTGTTACCAGATATATTCCGTGTATAAAACTGATTTGCAATCATCAGATTAGGGTTTGTTTTAAATGTATCTTGTAATAAATAAACTTAATTTGTAATGTATTAGGAGCCGAGCTGTTTGCTAAACGCCGGAAGAGATCCGAGAAATGGGTTGTTGATGAAAATACCGTAAAGACTCACTCCACTACCACAACAAGTGAAATAATACAGTCATCTACATCATCAACTAGCATTCTCCAGCATCAGACCAGTATGACTGGTCCTGGCAAGATTCCGCCACCTGTCTCATCCCACATTGATCCCAAACGAGCTGAACACGCTCAGAAACTGAATGAAATACAGGTTTGTGGAACTTTTTCATGATTTTAAACAATCCCCTTCATGTACTTTTCAGATATTTTTCTTTAAGAAATACTTCCTGAAGTTTAATTTTTCCTCTTAAGTCAAACTCTTTAACTTGTGTATGTCTGGAAAATACTTTGGTCTTCTTTTATATACTTTGCATGTACTTTTTCAAGAAACATCAATATTTATTATTGAAATTTTGCAAGACAACTAATGTTTATTATTTGAAAGACTAATTAGCCAAGAAATTGTGAATAATAAGAATCATGGTTTTTGCCAAAGTAAAGTAGAATACTAGAAGATATTTTTCCACATGTTTGTAAAAAAGTACAGACTTTTTTATAGACTGAAAAGAAATATAATAATATAATGAATTTGTAGGATTTCTTATTAATATAATGGTTATTAATATAACCATAAATGATAATGGTTGATTATCTCTAACAACAAACATTGATTGTCAGGAGCGTTTCACTTTGCCAAGACTGCGAATGGTTAAGACTCCTTGGGAGGCTGCACTGGAAACAGGCTCAGTCGAAACTGCTTTTGAGGAAGTTGCTCCCCTGCAGCCTCGTGGCTTTGTTGCTGCTCCTACTCCTGAGGCTATGAACACATTTATGAGTTCAATGCAACCTCAGCCACAGCCACAGCCTCCACTACCGCAGCAACCACTGGCTCAACCACCCCCAGCACAGCCTTGGGCATCTACCACCACAGCAACATCAACTATGTCATCAGCCAACATACGCCAGTCATTGAATCAGCGAGTGTCCAGCCAAGAAAAAGATTCTTTGTACAAGCCAAAAGTCCCCAGAGGATGGTCATTTCAACAGCAGCAGCAGCAGCCACAGACTTATGGTAAGATATGTTCTAATTGTGCATTAATAAGTGCTGATGTAAGTCTTCTTTTTTTGCTCTCAGACAGATATTTTTTTCTCTCAGAACAATCATAAATAAATAGGAGTTTTTCTTAATTCATTGTCTCAACTGACATTTAAAGCGTTAAGGATATGTAGGCACGACCTCAGCAGATTCTTTTCTTCTTTCTCTTTTTACTATCAATATTAAGTCTGGTCTTCAAAGTTAATAGCATGAATTTTTAACTTAACTCACTCTCGGTGAGTTAAAAGAAGTTTTAAATTGTTTGCAGCATATCATACTACCGTATTTACCCTGATGTTGAAGAAGCCTCCTGAAATTTTTTAAAATTGATAACTAATTCTTACTTTTTAGCAAAAATAAAATAGTAAGTTTTCTAATTGACTAAAAAATTGTCTTGATGATAATGTTACGACATTTTGTTAGAGTTATCACAATTTTCTTGTTGCTTAAAATCATCATCATCATTTTTTTGACATCATCTCCATCTTTGTATTCAATCATTATTTCTTTCTTTCTGGCCTTCCTCCCACACAATGACACCCTCTTGACTTTTTAGTTCCTTCCCCTGAGTCTTTTGTCTTTTGTACCTGATGTCACCTGAGAACATTCCTCTCTGTGTAGACAGATTATCTTCCAGTCCTGCACTTGTCTGGGCATCTGATTCTTTAATAATCATTAACTTTAAATTCTACTGGTACTACTAAATTCTATCCCATTTGTTTGAGATTCTCTAATGTGTTAAAAATTATTGGTCTGAATCAACCTAAAAATCCCAAAGGATTAAATTTAGGTATTATAGATACATGTGATATTCATCACCTTTACAGCTTACTGTTCCATCAGCATTAGTTCTTTTACAACCAACCAGAATTAATCTGTGAATATAAGATGAACCACCTAATTTACCAATGAAATATTCAGAAAAAAACATTGTTACATATTCGGGTAAATACGGTACTAAATAATCAAAAATTAAAATGATTTTTGTTGACTTTTTTTTTTTTTGTGTTGTTGTTGATTGTTGTTGTTGTGTGTGTAATCTCTGCAAACATAAACATTCCTATTGATGAAGAGAAGTTCCAAAATGAATTCTTCTTCAATTCTCAACCTTTCTCCTTTGTAACTTTGAAACCAAACCCAAGTTGAGGTTTTTACTAAGGCTAAAATACATTTTTAGAAACAAACATTTTCAGTATAATTAGTCATAATTGTAATGTTATACGATGATAACAATAAAATTATCTAATTATATGTTGAAGAGCTTGCTAGTGATCAAAACAAAAAAAAGAAGAATTTAAACAAATTCAAAAGTATGTTTAATATCCATTTTCATTTCTTTCTTTAAATTATTCCATACAGTAAGCTTTGTTAAATTAACTTAGAAATCATATTTTCATATTAAAAAGTTGTTAAGAATGTTGATTCTGAAATAATATTCACAGAATCTGATCATGAATTAATTCAATTGATACTCGTATTCACGATCATGATCAGATTCTGACCATGAATTAATATAATGAATACTCATGCTAATGAAATCTCATGCTTATCATAATATAAACCACAAAAAAAGTAAATGTGCATGACCTATCCAATAAATTTCTGACTTATGTATGTCAACTAATAATGTTCTATTTCAGAATAATTTCTGCAACTTTCAGAAAAATTAATTTTTAATATTTGTTTGTTTGCTCTTAATTTACATAATTAATTATTTGTTTTTCAATTAAATATTTATTTGATAATACCCTTTAGTCAGGAAATATCTTGAGTTTCTCATAGTAAATGACAAAATTGATTATATTTCAAATTTTGTAACAGATAATATTCATTTTTTTAATTAACAATTTAAAGAAACCATTTAATTAAATCAGTTTTCAAGGATAGCTTTAACTTAAATTAGTTTTAAAACAACTCTTTCCCAGTTTTATTATTCTGATGGCTGTGTAATTTAAAGACACTTTTTAAAATTGTAGCAATTTTTAGTTGTTGTATTAAAAAATATAGCATTAATTATTTTTCTTTTAAAAAAATGACAATTACTAATTTTAAATGTGCTACTGAACCCTTGATTTTATTGGCCCATATAGAAATTCCATTTTGAATGATATAATTACTTCCGATTGTAGAGAATTTAATTCTTACCACACAGGTTTCAAGGAGTTTAACTTATCTTCCATCTCATCCGCTGCAGCAACTAACAGAAGTTCAGCAGCTTCTGTTGCAGCACCAGCTGCAACAACTAACAGCTTAGCTGAAGAAACAAATATTCCCCCTGCTCGAGTAGCTACTCCAACGTTCCGCCCAACAACTCCTTTCTCCGTTTACATCCCAGGGGCTACTCCAGCTCCTTCTACTCCCCAGCCCCTGGCCCCAGAAGTCAGTAAACCTGAACCCATCCCCCCGCCGCCCCCTGCTGCCCCTGAACCTCCTCCTCCTGCTCCCCCTGCTCCCGTGAGTGCCCTGGCTGAGAAGAAAGAGTCACAGGAATTACAGCAGGCTTTAACTAATATTGCTGAAGGTAATTCTACAACTGAAACTCAAAGTATAGCCATTTCTCAGTCTCAAGCTACAGTCAGCAGCTATACAGAATCATCAAGTGTCACAACTGAAGTAGTAAAAGAACAGCAAATTTCATCTAGCTTCACTTCTGAAGTCAAGGAGGAGCAAGTTTCATCAAGTGTCAGCTCAGAAATAAAGGAAGCTGCTATTCAAAATGAACAAGTAATCAAAGCACCAACGCCAGCTCCAGAACTTCAATCCACAACGCAAACATCTTTCCAAGCTTCAGCAGCCGAAAGTATTCAACAAGTGAGGGAAGAAAAAGTCTCTTCCATTCAAGCTCCAGTGCCATTTTCAGCTCCGGCACCACTTCCAACTCCAGCTCCATTTTCAGCTCCAGCACCTCTCCCAACCCCTGCACCAACTCAATTGCCTACCTTTAAACCTTTGCCTACAACATTTGCACCACCAAACATTACTCCTTCATTGCCATCGCAACCACAACCCTACAGTCCTCAAGCAATGCAAAGAAGTGAAGTGAGTTCACAGCAGATGGCTGAAGCCAAAGAAAATATCATAGAATATGCAAAGGCTCATCAACAACAGCAAGAAATGTATAGTGAATTTGAGAGTGGAGTCTCTTATGAAACGAAACAACCTGTTAGATCGTTAATTCAAACATTTGAGCAAGGCAGTCGACCACCTATGAAGTACAAACAGATTCAGAAAGAGCCACCTCCTGGGGTATTTCCACCATCTCAGTCAGGAAATATGTATTATGTTGCAAATGCAAGAGTTGAAACAAGGCAGTTTGCTGCACCACAATCTACTCAAATAGTTTCAACTCAGCAATCTGTAGAATCAGGAAGCTCTTTTCAGAAATTCTCTTCTTTCTCCTCAAGCCAGCAGCAGAGTGAAACTAAAGTTATTCAGCAGACTTCCAGTCAGGCAAATTATCAAGTACAGCAACAGCAAACACAAAATTTTCTAAGTCAACAAACTTCTTTACCAACCCTAGGTTCCCAGAGCCTGCCTCAATCCCAAAGTTCAGCATCAGTAGGGGCACAGCAGCAGCTACTATTGCAAACTGCAGGCAAGATGAGGATATTTTTTTCTGTTTTGCTAGAGATTTTTAATTTTGAAAACCCTACTTTGCAGCATTATTTTTTCAGTTTCTTCCTTTTTTGTGCCTTTTAGTGCACAGAAAAGCACTTCAGCCTTTCCTTTCTTCCTTCTCCAGTTGTCATCCAATTTTCAGATAAAATTTAATTGCACTGACTGTCCAAGAAATGCAATATATTCCACTTCATTGCAATTCTTATAATGTTTACAATTTTCTCCCCTTAGATACTAGAAACATATAATTTGATTTCTTTATTTGAGTGAATTTTGATGTGTAACACAGATTTTAAAGCACTGTGCATTTGTTGGCTAACTGTTGGAATCATTTTCCTAATAACAAGCATGCATGAACTTACTCTTGAAATGTGAGCTTTGAGTTTTAGCTTGTATCAGTGGTTTTACAAAATTGACTTTTCCATCACACAAAAACAAATTACTGATAAAATATAATGTAAATTAACATCATCTTACAATTATTTAAACCACCTAAAGAATGCATGTCAATAGGTACAAATGATTTAAATGAAGATCTAAAATTAAGCAGTAGCAAACATTTTTTCATGGATTTTTACTTCTCATGAAGTTATATTGCAAGACATGATAAAATTCTCTTCTTAACAATGTACTAGAAATTACTGAATACAATGTACAAAGACTGATTGAAATATTCCTAGTTGAAACGTTTTCATTGCAGAAATGAGAATTATTAAAACACCTACTCAAATTTCTACACAAGAATCAAGATGGATCATAGGGAGGAACCATCAGTAATAATACCTGCAAATTTTTGTTTTGTAGGTTCGCTACCTGCTACACCAGCTGCTTCCTACCAGCCACCTCCTCCACCGCAGCAACAAACTGATCTTTCATCATCTGGTAAAAATTTCGGTAATTTGAATAACTACAACACTGCTCCTCGAGGATGGGGGCAAGTCCAGGACTATTACCGACCCGTAATCTTTGTAGGAGCAACACGAGTCAGTTAAGCTGTGTAAAATTCATACATCCACTGACTAGTGTTTACAAGGATCAGAATTTTCAGATCCACATCTATTCTATAAAAGTCAGTTTTTATATGATGCTTGCTGCATATTTAAATCTAGTACCTGATGCAAATATTCAAAGGATATTTTTTAAAAAATCTTGGGAAAAGCATCATTCTAATGAAAGTTCTTTGTAATGTGGTGCTCTATCTTACACATTTAAGAACAATATTGGAAATAAGAAGTTTGTGTAATAACTTGTTACAACTAAATTTGCAGAAGCAAATTTTCCTTTAATTTAACAGTAGTTAATCAGAACCTCTTAGGTACATTTTCACAGGTGAAAATGATTGTAATCTATTTGTTTCTTCTTGTACTATCCTGCTGAATACTTCTTGCAAAGAGAATTATTCACTGAAAATTTCTCACACATACACCTAAACAATTCTGTGCAAAGTACTTCATTTTCCTGTTTGTTTGCTGCCACACCCACACAAAATTGTACATAATAATACTGTTTGTGAGAAAGATAAAGGATGGTGAGAGCAATATGTATTTAATGTGTGCAATTGGTTTTGAGATTCATATTGTTATCTTGTTTAAGAAAAATGCATTAATTAACTCCACTTATTGTAAAAAAGTTATTATTGTTAAATTGCCACAAGATACACTAATGATCATGTATAACCTTGTACATTGTATGTATCAAGAGCCTGACATTAATTCCAGTGGTTTTCACTTCAATGCTGGAATATATGTTTTCCAAACATCCAATGGTGTATTTTTTTTAACCTCCCAAATAATTTCATCAAACTTTCTTACTTTCCTTAGAATGTCCTCTGAAAGAACATTAGAAAAGCATGTATTTGTTAACTTTGCATTTAAATTTTAGTTAATTAGAAAATATTTTTTAATTACCAAATCAATAAGCAAGTTACAACATATCAATTTGTTTTACCACAATTTCCACGTTTTAAAAGTAATATATTAGATACACATATAATTTAATTGGTTTACAAATTTAGAGTATACAATAATGATTGAAATATTTATTACAAAATTCTAAACAACTTTCATCTATACACTTTTGTCATAAATTTACCATCACATGCATTTATCTCCCTCCCAATATGTCTACATAATAGCGAATGTATTCACTAGCATTTAATATACATGGTACACTAACAGGGGTGGATTAATACACAAGCATATGCTTAAGACCTCCAATTGTTTTAAAACAAAGTTTTCTAGTAGTTAACAGATACAGAAACATATTTAATAACCAATTTTTAAGTTGCAGAGATTATAGTTTATTTTCATACTATTATTTGTATTACATACAAATATTTTCAGTATTTCAATATTTTTAGGCCACCCCATAGTCTGATTACACTTTGGATCTCCAAAGATACTAATTCAGTCCTATATACCAATATGAGTGATAAATTTAACATAACATGATACGGTTAATTGACAACTTTATGATGAAGAATAAGGGGACACGAGACATGAAATTGGTAGAATGAAAAGAGATGTAAATATGACAGAGGGGTTTCTAATTGAAAGTGAAAAAATTAAAACTATAAAATGTACGCCAGCAACTTACATTCAGTGAGCCCAGAAGTAAAAATGGAATAAATAATATGGAACAAATGTAAAGGGAAAGGATGAGGCTCCTGAGAGATAAGGATGCCCTGCAGATATACAAAACTCTTACTTAAGAAATACATAACTCACAACAAAATAAGACAGAACTATCTATGGTTATAAGGAAAAAGATGACAGTTTCACAGAAAATTGTCTATCTGCACAGGTTTCCTTCATGTATTGTGATTAGCCAAAATTTTCCTATGCAAAACACACAGTAAGCAAGTCATTGTTAACAACTGGCATCCATTAAGAATTTAACAGTCTGCAGCTGGTAAGTACAATCAAAACAAATGAGTTGTAGCAAAAGATGGTTTATGAACCAGCATGTATATCACTGCAAACTAATACATATTTTGAAGACTTGACAGTTTCAAGATTTATAATGTCACACACCAAAAAGATTTATTCTTTTAGAAAATAATATATCAACACAACTATTAAGTATAGTGGGATGTTGATTATCGGAACTAATTGGGACCAGATATAGTTTGGATATTTGATAATTCAGATAACCAAACAAAAATCGCAAGTATACATAAAATGCTGTACGCATAAAGTTTCTTTATGAGAACGTACCAATAAAATGCTGGACTGCACAAAATCATAAAAAGTAAATTCTACTCCAGAGGCCCCCTAGATTCTCTCGACTTCTTAGACAGAAGTGGAACTTCCTGCTCTCTACATGTTTGCAAGCCAGCATATGTTCACATTTAAAGGAATCTACCAAAATTACAATACATTAGAGCAACTCTGTACAAATATATATGGCAAAGCCAAGTCTTCAGCGCTTTCGGTGTTCTTTACAGCATTCATAGACATTGATTCAATAGAGCAAGAAGCCTTTCCATAAAATGTTGTTTTTCTCTTTAGAATTTTATCTTGTTTTTTTAGTAAACAAAAATGTTTTATGTTATAACCTAGTGAAAGTTTTACTGATAAAAATGTTGTACAGTTAAAAATATTTGACTTCAACACAGCAGTGCAACTTCTACACTCCACAAATATGTTGAATTATAAGTATCCTTGAATGACTCTTATGGTGATTATCTCATAAATTTAATTCATTGGTTCATTAGAACAATGATTTATTTGAACCTAAATGCATCAGAACATCATTTCAGAAGCAAATTTTGTAGAGTAATTCTAATTCTAAGCAAATGTCAAAAAATTTCACTTAGCCATGCTCTGAAGAAAGGGACAAAAATTAGAAAAATCGTAGAAATCCACTCTCTAGTTATTACAATAAAAATTGGTTTTAAGTTGTACTAGTTCTTCTCATCATCACTTTAATCTGATGATTAAAATTACACAAAATAACTTTTTTCTTAAGATGCTTGTTTACAAATAAGCCTCTTCACATTTATTTTTTCATGCTAGTAAAATACAAAATAAAACCAAAAAACCATCCCCCCTCTCTCTATTGAGAGTTTGATATTTCCTCCAAAAAATATGTAAATTTATCCTTGCCAGGAACACAATTATTACATTTCTATTTCATAGGTGACTCATTTATGATTTCCATTCAGAATTGTTTAAATCAAGAAAATTGGAAAAAAGATAACTTTTCAAAGAGGATTCGTAGGATGCATTCAGACTGTGCTGCAAAAGTGAAGCACCTAATGACACTGAACTATGTTTCTCTCGTCAATCCCTCTCAACCCCTCTCCCCATAGAGAAAATTGCAAATTCACACCCTAATCATCACTTATACATAACACTTAATCATCACATCTACATAACTTCACAGAAGAATTGAATCCTTTTAAATCACTGTGGTTTATACTACATTCCTTAAAAAAATGACTTATTATTGATAAATTGATTTTTGTATAACCCGCTGAGCTTTCTAAGTGAAAGACTACCTTATAATGTCATGTTAAAAATAAATACCAATATAATCTAGAGATCTTCTGACTTCTGATAGGTTTTGATTATATGTTTCCTGTTCTACAGACATTATATTAATTGAAATTCAACACTTTCAAAATAATTATTTATTAACATTTTGTTTCAAGTTCCTGTAAATTATAATAACTTGGCAGCCAATGCTCAACATGGTTTAAAATACACAAAGGGTTCTGCACATCGCCAATTCTTTGCATGTACTCTAAATTGAATGTTGTATGGAATCTCTGATTGAATTCTCCATTTCTTTGGAATCCCAGCTGGCCGCATAATGCCAGAGTCCCGTGTCGGCTTAACCATTTTCTTTATTAGTTCTTTCTCTATTTGTTTTGCAGAAAGGTATTTATCAGCGCTATGTGGTGGATATTTATCAAAACAACCACTTTTATTGCCTCCAAGCTGAAAAATTAATTAATATTCGTAACAAGAAGTCCTTCACAAACAGATATATTGTGTGCTATTTCAAAACAAAAACTTTAGTCTTAACTGAATACATGTTTTCTTAAACTCCTAAACCACTGAAAATGAACAACTGAATTCAAAAATATTTCGTACAGTGATAAATTGTTCATTAACTCTTTGAATTAAATATGTACAGAAGTCCCAAATCAGACATCAAAAGATGAAAGGTATTAAAAAGAAAAATTTGCATTTGAAAAAATTTAAGATTTGACAAATTTTAAGATGCTCATGTAGTTATTCAGAATACTGAGATAGAAAAATCACATTGTAGAATCCCTTCAGTTTTCATTTCAAACTTATTACTTGAATTATCCCAATAAAACAATTAAAAGGAAAGCGTTGCAATAATTTTTTTCACTTACAACAGTGCAGCAAGTGATTATCAATCAGCAAATAATACAAAATAAGAGAGTTAATCAAAATTATGACTAAGTGTGATTCTCAAAAATGACAGAAAGATGACAATTTTCATTAAGTAGAATGTTGGTTCTGGGTAATAATAGAATTAAACTTCCATGCTAATTATGTGTAGAATCAGGTACAATGCATCTTTTAAAGTACATTACGCCCACAAAATAATGAAAAATCATTGATATTTTTTTAACTGAGTCATAATCACTATGTTTTTTAAGTCAGTAAAACCTATTTTTTCCTTTGATCTTTTGTTGCTGTTTTTATATTTAATATTCATGAACTCTTGCATAAGAGTCGTGTCCCATTTCTCTAAACAAAAGTAGTGGGAGGGAAAAAAAAATATTATGCCAAAAACAGATAACAACATATATTACAAATATAATATTTTATATAGGGAATAATATATTTAAGAGAAAGAACAAAAGTAAGCAATGATTTGAACAAAGAAATAAAGTGCTTTTTACTTAAATGTGTAATCTACCCTCATTGAAAATAAATTGTTAGGTTTCACCTCAAGAATACTGTTGTAAATAATTAAAATTAATAAATATGACATTGGCAATATCTTAATTTAAAAATTACATTTTTAAATATACAATAATTTAAATTAATTAGTTTTACACATTTGCAATAGAAAAAAAACTGCTCAAATACCTTCTTTCCAGGACCTGGGACAACAAATTCTGGCCCTCGCCTATATGGTTTTTCCTTCGTTTCTTTGTAAGTTTTCATTATTTTGTCAGTTTTATATGGATTCTCATCAAAGTATGAACATTTTCGAGACACTGCAAAAGGAGCTCCTTTCATGTTTTTCTTGTGTTGTGCAAAGCTTTTTGTGTACAGTTCCCTTGCAGCATCATATTTATCAACCTTTGAACTGATAGGAATAATTTTATGAGTTATTTTATATATTTTTAATGGAACTTCATAAGTAAATATTTTTAATAAAGAAAATCTTTTATAAAGAATGAACTTACATACGTTCTGGATATTTATTGATACAAATATTGACATAACCACCATTTCCTTTTTTAGGAACAAAGCCAAGGAAATTTGGCTTCTCTGGAACTCTCTTCTCTGGGCGTGTTAATGGGCTCATAGCTATCCAAATCACAGTGTGTTAGAAAAATGCCAAGTCCATGCTTCAAATTACCTGAACATTTATTGCACTTTCTTACCTGGAATTATGTTCTCTTCAAATGTACCATAAAAATCCCCTGGAGTACTGGAATGCTTCATTACAAATGTTGAGTTGAAAGGTATTGCACTCATATTTTTCTTTTTGCTAATCAATCTATACTTCACGGTGAAATAAAACATAAGAAAGATGACTGAGAGTTGTAGATGATTGTAGAAAGTGAAAAATGTATTTAAGGCAAGTAAACATACAAGGGTATCATATCAAGGGGTATAAAAACACATCACCATCTCCTCCTCTATTGAATGAACTAACATTTCTTATGTCATTTTGTTGATAAACACTTTGTTACTGCATAGTGTTTCTTGATGACTTTTCTTCTTTTGTAATATATAGAAGGTTTTGCTAAGATGAGTCAAAGAGCTGAGTATATTTCCAAGTAACATCAAAGAAAAAATCAATTTTTTATTATTATTATTTTTTTATTTTTTTATAAACAACGTAAAATGAAAATTTTTAAATTGACAGAATTGGCAATATTATGACATTTATTATGAATTGGCTTATTACGACAGTTCTGTATTGAGAATGGCCCTGTGATTTCACCCCGCATTAGGCCATCAGAATCTCAGTCTACCAGCTGGCCGTCAGAAAGCACTGGATGTTTGCAAATGATGTTAACAACCTCCCAAGTTTACAATAGTGTTTGAATTTTGGAGATGCGCACTAAGTTCCAGTGACATTCAGGCCAGGATGAAAATGGAAAACTACAAAAAATATTTTCAATGCGTCTGAGAACAAAATGGTAAAATAATTACTTATTGCTAATCTCATAAGGGGCATGTTAGTGTGCATTTTACTCCTTCAAATGACTCATCCTGAATACGATGAATTATTCTTGTCAATCTCTGGGTCAAAATGTACTTGATTTGAATTAGGGCTTTTCAGTAAAGTGTATGTGTTTCAAAAATTTGAAAAGTTAATTGATCATATTTTGTAGCGTAATTATAGTTATGGTGGAACAGTTCATTTCTCTGAACTCCAAAAGCAAAAGCACTCCTGAAATCATAACACTTAATAATGTACCCTACCAATCATTAATAAAAGAATGGATGACATTCATATACTTTTAATTGTAAATAATTGATTTTAGAATGTTACATTGGCTGTTTATACTATAATTTAACAGAATTTTGATTACTTACATAAAAAAAAAATGCAATACATTATACATTTTGTAAAATTTGCACTTAGATAATAAGTTCTTTAAGGTTCTCACAGATTATATAGTATAAAGTTTCTAGGCTGGTAGACTGTGGTCCCAGATTGGCAATTGAAGGGCCAATATTTTTTTTTTTCCATGACTACCATGGACTATCTTTAGTAGTTGTGCAGGGCCATTGGCGAGTACACTGGGGGCAGTGGGTGGTCTGGCGACATCTAAAGATGTTCCATATAGTTGTGGACGAAATGTTTGTCCTTTATTCTTACATTTTTGACTCTGGCTGTGAGAGCCTAAGATGCTCTATCTAAAGGATTATTTTTTATAACTATCACAATTTAGGATGAGTGCAGAAATGGATACCTTTGCAGTCCCCTTTCCCTGTCTTGCAATGTAATTGAAATAAATAAATCGTTTATTTGATACTGTTTGCTATTGTAAATGTCTATGATTTTGCTCTGTCATGATATTGATAATCTCCTGGGGAGCATAGATTGTGATTATTATTACCCTCCCAATTACATATTAAACTATTAAATAGAAAATGGTGTTAATGGTGAGTTTAACACTAAAGGAGGCTCATTAGAGAAGATAATTTTCTCAGTAACATATGGTAATGGCCACAATAAAGTTAAGAAAAGTTTTGTGATGAGTTCACTTCCAGGTGATGTCATAGAACTAGATGGAAACTTTGAAAGTTCTAAACGGTAAGTTTTTTTGCTTATTCCTCAGACACATCGGAAAATAAGTAAACAGCACAGCCATTAGTAGAATTTCCACCAACAGTGATACTTGCAGTAACATACATTTCTTCCTTCACTCACACAAATTGATAACCTACTTAGGAGAACGGTAATGAAATCACCCCAAAAGTTAGCAAGAATTAAGAATCTTAAAGAGACTATTCCTAGGACATAGTTTCCATTAGTGGTCTGCAGCAGCAAAATGCTGCTTGCCGAGAGCAAGAGAGATGGGATCTTGGAGGCAGCAGAAAGTGCTCGTTTTGAAACACACATGCTACTGCACATGAATACTGAAGTTTCTTTTCTTTCTTAATGCGTAACATCAGCTCTGCCATAAGAAGTGGCACACTGAGTATATTGAATATAGACATATATTCAGTTATGAAAAATTGTGGATTAAAAATATTTTATATTTTTTAGTCAAAATCGAAACTTATTTATTTTCTTCCACTCTTTCCTGTATCTAACAAAACATTGACATCTCTCACATGGCCAGACACGGCTTAGTTTCTCATCAGTTTATGTGCATATTGGAAACTATTAATTCAGTAAATCTGTCTTAGTCATAATATTCCAGTTTAGGGAGTATTCCATTTTAAGCAGGGTTCTCTATTTATGAACCTCGTTATATTGATTATTTCCAGAGTGTGATTTACAAACAAGCCACAAATTATATTAATTTTAATAAAAATAGTTGAATATTTATTTTATAATATATTTATTAATTATTCCTGAGTTACTAACGCAGTTCCATCAGGTTTCCACCAAAATCAAGCCTGATTATTTTCCATCCAGAAACTAGTAAAATATCATGAGATCAGTAATTATAAAAAGATATTAACATATAACTTATTTTGGAAGAAGTCATCAAACTAATTCAGAATTTACATTCATATGCAGAAAGAGTACGTATATTAACATTTATCCACCCTTGTGGGTAATAAAATTGGTTAAAACCACTGAAGTACCAGATACAAAAGTAATGATTTTTTTTACAATATCATTATTGTAGTAATGTTCCCTTTCTGTTCTAACCAAATAATTATAATTTTAATCAAAATTAAACCAATTGTAAATTATTGTTTTAGTATTGTTTTTTATGTAAATAAATGATGTAAGAAAGATATGAATACGCCACTATAATCAACCATTATCACTTATGATGAATGTTGTTTTAGACATACTAATTATATACAGCCACAACAAGATGGCCAATTTCCCAAATTTTAATAAACAATTTAGGAAATGCTGTAAACCCCAAATTGTCTTAAATGTTTAAAACATTATTTTGATTAAACAAAACTTGATTAAGTTGATATCAGTGTTGAGATTTTCTCTATGCTAAGAGTTTTCCTCTAAGATATCGAATGTATCATCATGATGTATGATATAATATTATAATAATAGAATCAGAATCATTTTTAAATTTTTGATTAATGTATTACAAAATTTAAACCAATTCTTTATTAAATTATATGTTTTAAAGAATTATTACTCACTGTTCTCGCAGGTAATCTTGTAAAGGACTACGGTATGCTTCTTTTGTAAATATTCGTTTAAATTCTGTATCAAAATAACAATCTTGCAAGCCAACTTTCCATTTTGGAACAGGAGCAGAAAATGCTAAACTTTTAGAACGATCAAGAGGTGCAACTAAACAGAAAAATTACAGTTCTTACTTTCCAAAATCACATTCACAAAACACTTTTCAAATCCATATTTTATTCAAATTAACAATAAAAAGAGGGAATATGTACCTTCTAAAGGTGGTTGATATCCTTTTCCATTCATGTAAGACATTTCAGCGAAAAGTCCTACACGATCCAAGTCTGCCCTTCCAAAATGGAAGCCAATTTCTTTGCTTTCATCCATTGTGTTTCTTTTGATGAGACTTTTCAATTAAAATATATCTGGAAATGTGGTGAATGGAGCTGAAAACTACAAATTATTAAAGTAAAAATCTATTTTGCATATTTGTAGTTGTAGTTGAAACGAGAAAACTACAAACTTCAAGAAATCTACAATACAGGGAAAAAATTGCATGTATGCATATTCTATTAGACATTTCAGTAAAAAAATCAATAGTTGTGAAACAATCACAATGAGCATATACCTCAAACCTAAAATTTAATTAAGCATTAATTACATACTTGTCTACAGATTTTCTTTTTCATTAAACAAATAATGAAAAAAACAACAACAAGAATTTGGCTACCTTGCACTATTGAAAATACTTCTGCTATACTTATTATTTGGCTCGTTTCCAAACGTGACAAGAAATGCCAATATTTTCATAAACTACTGTCAAAACCGTTTCACTCGAATCTGTTTGTTTTGTGGATGCGATATGATTCTCGCTCGTCGTTTATCTAGGTTTAATCACAATTTAAAGTCGCGGTATTTACAAAGGTATTACAAAGGGTCGATTGATCGAAAGATCGTTATCGGACGGAACGACCTGGGAGCGACTTTTGCAAAAGGGCGGCAGGTGCGACGTTTTCGACTTGATGTGTCAAGCTCTATTTGAGTTTCATTGTTTGAGATTTCAATTAATTTGAAAAGATACGTTTAATTTACTCAATATTTCACTTCTCGTATCACAGCATTCCTTGTCTTGCGAGATGTTCGTCATACAAGTCTGAAAAGCGACTGAAATACCTAATTCATTGACCTAATCAGTCAAAAGCCATGGATGAAATTATAGAAGTTAATGACGATGAATTCGATGAATTGGAAAAGATGTATTGTGATGTTAAAGGCAGCTCTCTTCAGGTTTGTTACCATTTTATTGAATGTAATTTGATGTACATGAAAGAGAAATAATAACGAATGGTTTTGTAGGTTAAACCAACACCTGTTGCAAAACAACAATCAATTAAAAAAGAAGAAATTAATGAAGAAGAAATGGATAAATTGCTACGAGATGTAGAATGGAATGAAGAACCAGTTAGTTGTAATTTCTATTCTTAAGTTCATGTCTTTTGAGAAAATGTTGATTTCTATTTATTCAATGAATTATTTGTAGGTTAAAACTACTCTTAAAATGACTTCAACTCCAGATCCTCAGCAAAATCATTTAGATATCCTGAGAAAACACTTTGGTCATGCGAAGTTTAGACCAATGCAATGGGAGATCATATACAACATTATAAAGGTTTGTAATGTTTTAAATGATCTTGTGCATCTTCTTTCAATATATATGTTTAATAGACATTTTTAAAAAAAATTTGCAGTTGAAACGAGATGGCTGTGTAATTATGGCAACAGGTTATGGAAAAAGTTTATGCTATCAGTTCCCCCCAGTATTTTGTAATGGTACATCTCTAGTTATTACACCATTAATTTCTTTGATGGAAGACCAGACACTAGCTTTGGAGGTATGACTATGCCATCAGAGTGTTGAACTAAGACATATATTAAATTGAGGCTATTTTAATGATTGCTTACAATTTGTCATCTGGTGTTTCAGGCAGCAAATATTCCTGCATGTTATCTAGGAGCAGGGCAATCTGGACAGGGCAACAAAATGGATAAACTGGTGCAGGGTGATTATCGAGTAGTGTATTTAACTCCTGAATTTTGCACTGGAGACATTGGAGCCAACCTCTTTGATCGGCTTTTAGTATCCAAAACAATAACTTTAGTTGCCATCGATGAAGCTCATTGTGTGAGCCAATGGGGACATGATTTCAGACACAGCTACAGGTACAGTGCAGTTTTGAGTTCTCTTTGTACCTGATTGAGAGTTCCGTATTTGTACAGAATGAAGAGGGCAGATAAGACATAAGCTGTGAGAAAAGTTTGTCAGATTTCCCCCAAGTTGTTGAAAGGCTGTAGGAAACTATGAGTGAGCTCATGGTAGAGACTTTTGGTTAAAAACATTGATTGTAGGTGGCTCAATTTAAAAGTAGGTTTGGTGGTGTTAAATGAGTAAGGTCTGTGTACTTGGTAATTTCATAGATAATGTTGCTTTTTGCCTAGACAATGCCACCCATTCTACCCTCTCTTCAATTCAGTTCATTTCAATTCAGTCTCATTCAACCCTCTCTTCAATCTGTAAAAATTCTCAAGATGTCAAAAGACAGAACTCAAAGTCTAATGTATCATTTGTGCTTATTTCATGTGTGGGCTTGACGATAGACAATAATGTATTATCTTTGTTAACCTAGACGACTTGGGAAGATTCGTGATAAATTAGGACATTCTGTTCCAATTTTGGCATTAACAGCTACTGCTACACAACAGGTGCAAGATGATATTTGTTCCTCATTGAAACTAAGGTATGTTGGGATAACTTTTTATAAAATAAGAAAAGAGTTGGGATAATAAGATGTATTAATTTTAGCTCTATGTAATAACATAATGGAAAGTAGTATGTTGTAGTTGCATTGTGTAGGACATAACTTTTGAGGTTGGGGCTTGTGTCTCATGGTGCAGGGAACCACCCCTCTTGCTGAGTTCTGAGTATGGGAAGATGGGATGTGGGCTTTGAGTATGAGGTGTGGCACATTGGGTCTTAAAAATGCTCAATTGATGCCACATCATAGGTGCCATATGCACAAGATGCAATTGTGCTCAAATAGTACCAACAGTCACCACTACCAAGCACTTGAAACATCACATTGAATGATAGGAAAAAGGTTACCCAGTGGCAGCCAATAGTAATGGAGGGGGCAAACATTTCAGTGCATGTGAAGTGGAAGAGTTTTTCTTATGTGGTTCACCTCTATCATTTTTTAATTAGAAAGTAAGTTACTTCTCCAGACATGATTGTCACTTGTTTGTATGTATTCGTGGGCTTTCGATTGTGTCCTCTCTAATTAGCATGCATTTACTTTTTTCTTTTCTTTTAGGAATCCGTTTCGCATATGTTCTGGCTTTGATCGACCTAATTTATATCTTGCTGTTCATCAAAAAGGACCATCAATTATTAATGATTTGCGACGTCATATGATAAGAGGCGAAATGAACTTTGCAGGCCCTACAATTGTCTACTGTCCAACAAAGAAAGCTACAGAGAATGTAGCCAAAGCTTTGTCAGGTATTAAGAAATGCACAGTATTGCAAATGTATGGTTGTGGGTTTGATAAATTGCTTGATCATTGTCTACAGAAGATATTTAACAGCTTCAAAAAAAGTTGAGGCCATAAATACATAACAGTAGTTTAATTATATGTATCAGATAGAACTTTTTTTTTATGGTTATAGGTAATTAACTTTGAAAATTGTGAGTTAAATGCCACCTATTGAGAATGAAAATTATTTTCCAGCACCTTTTATCACTGTTTTTGGGCTCTTCACAACTTTTTTAATTCCTCTCTACCATCTGTTTAACTTTTGTTGTCTTTTAATTCAATGAAACATTTTGCTTTACTTTGTTTTAACTTTTCAAAATTCTTACATTACAATTTGTAGTAGTATTATGAACAATTGTTGTATTCACCTTTGCAAATTATATTTGCACCAATGAAAATTAATTTAGTTGTTACTTCACAAATAAATCAAGTAATGCTGGCTCACTTCCTTTGTTCTCAAATAACAATACAAAGTGCTCAAAACAAATATGTCATGTTTAAACAAGTATGTAACCTATGCTTAATCTATGTTAACAAATATATCATGTTTAAACATATATTTTTCCTATGGAAATTGCCGCATAAAAATACAAATATTATTTATGTTCTGTAAAGAACTATATTAAACTGTATTACTGTAAATAACTGTACTGTATTAATGTATTGTAAATAATAATCAGGGTCATATTCTACAAACAAAAATAATTACATACAATCAGTTTTGTTTCTTCTTTGATTTTCGTGACAGTTTTCATACTTTGAATGTTTCTCTCTAGTCCCTAGTACATCTTTTGTATTTGATTGAACTGTGCAATAGGAAAAGATTCATACTGTTTTAAGTATTAAACCTGAGATTGTTATTTGTTAAATATTTAGTATAATCTCATTCTATTTAAAGTATTATTTGTTTCAGATTATGGTGTAAGTTGCCGTTATTATCATGCAGATTTGAATGCAAAATTACGTAAAGAAGTTCATCATATGTTTGTCAGGGATGAGATACAAGTAATTGTAGCAACAGTTGCATTTGGAATGGGAATTGACAAACCAGGTAACATGTTGAGATAAAATGATTGAGAGTTAGTTTCTAAGATTGAGAATGCTATTACGAAGTATTTCGAACTTTTCACTGTATTAAAAATACATTTTTATGGGTTCAGATGTGAGATTGATCATCCATTATGGAGCTCCTAAAGACATGGAAAGCTATTATCAAGAAGTTGGTCGTGCTGGAAGAGATGGATTACAGTCACAGTGTTATAGCTATTTTTCAGCTGCTGATTTTAATACTAATCAGTAAGTACATGAAGTTTCTTGAAGATAAACATAATTATTTTGAAAGATAACTTCTAAGAGCACTGTTGTTTAAGTTCCTCTCTCCTCACCATGCCCTTCTTTGGGAAAAATGATCTGGCAAATATTACTTATCTAAGACAAATGGAAAATTATACTTTTGGTATTCCGATTGTCAAAATTGTTAATGTTTAGAAAGTGATTTTAATTTTTTTTTTAATATTCTAGTAGACTGCGTCAAGAATACAGCAACACTGACTTATTTTAAAGAGGTTTCATTTCAAAAGTAGTTAAAGAAATCCTGCTATACTGTCTGTGAACGGCAAGAAGCAGTAAGGAAATGTTAAACTTGAGTTAGAGCCTTTTCCAAACAAAAAAAAAAACAAAAATATCATTAGTTGTGAGTAACACTGGGCAACAAATAAAAACTCTTTTTTTGAAACAGGAATGAAAAAAGTGTCTTCTTTACTAATTTGAGGGTGCTGAAATTGATATAGTTTAAAGAAAATTTCTTTAAACTTTGTCAATTCTTTCTTTTCTTTAGTTACAGTATTAAAGCATTATATAGTATTATACATTCCGTATTTCTGTATTACCTACAATAAAGCATAATTTCAGGTGAAATGCACCAGAAACAATTTTCCTGAGTTTTGAAATTAAAAAGTAACATTAAAATAATTTATAAAATATGTTCACTATCTGTGTGCAGTGTGATGCTAAAATAGTTGTTGGCTCATAGTCACCTTCAGTTGTAATTTTTATTTAATCCACCTCCCTTCTCCCCTTTAAACTAAAATATTCATCTCTTAAATATTGAAAGCATATCCATGTGGGTTATATTTTACACCTGAACTCTTCCTATAGTTCTATTTAAAAAGTTACAAAATGATTTAAATTCTCAAAAAAATTGTGAAAAAAGATTATGAACAATAGCTTTACTGCATATTATTTACCCTAATATGTAGTATTCTTGAATGCAAATTGTAATTTGATATTGTGACCTGTTTCAAAGCTAATGAGGGCGTTGTTCAAAGCTAATGAGGAAAGTTAGTGAGATGTGTTATTTTGCAGATACTTCCTTTCCAATCTTACTGGAAAAGCTTACGAGCATCGAAGAACAGCGATGCTTAAAATGGAACAGTATTTGCAATCCAGACAGTGTCGACGTCAGTTCTTATTGTCTCATTTTGAACCTGATAGATTGAAAGGTCCAGACACACCAGCAGAAAATTGTTGTGACAATTGTACATTCAGGTTTGATTTTTATACTCTTCTATTATTGTGTATTTGATTTTTAATATCCGTTAGTTTTCTTATACTTTATTTTAAACTTGTTTTAAACTTATTTTAAACTTAAACAGGAGAGCTCATGGTAATAAAGAGCCTGAAGTAGATGGCTTAAATGAAGATGGTACCTATGATTTTGGTGAAGATGCAGAATTACTGTTGTCTGCTGCGAATTTTTTTGGAGGACGATTTGGCATAACGATGATCATTACTTTTTTATGTGGAGGCAAGAATGCTAAATTCCGAGAATCTGAAATGGAGAATGAAGTGTTTGGGAAAGGAAAACACAAACCTAAAGAATGGTGGAGAGGCTTAGGTAAAACATTTTGCAGATAAAAATAGTGATTTTCTTGCTATATTACAAGAAAAATGATTGATTTACAACCAGATGTGAATTGTATTATGATCTTTTGCATGCAAAAATTGAGTAGAAAAGCTCAAAAATCTTACATTAAATAATTCCTCTGCAAGAACATCCTCTCCTTAGTTACTAAATCTTTGCTCTCTTCCAAGAGGAATTATGACTTATGACATAGACTGATTTAATATTATATATTACTAGATAAAATAATTTGTTTTGATTCAAGAGTTGAAGTAGATACATGTCACGTTTTTGTTTTGTAATGGATATTAACTGATTTTATTGTGTACATAAAGCTTTCTTCATTTGTAGGTCGCATTCTTTTACAAGAAGGCTATTTGCAAGAAGTTGCTTCAAAATATAATGCCCCAGGAAAATTTCCTATGAATACAATAAGAGTTGGGAAGCGAGGTACAGACTTCTTGCGTAGGTTAGTGTTTTGCGGAGTAATGTAACTAACAATGTAAAATCTATCTTCTTTTTTTCTTCTTTTAAAACCTTTCATTTCTTAAGGAATGTTTTTAATTTCAAGGATAGGTAAAGAAAAGATATCTGTCAATTTGTATCCTACTGAAGATATGATAAGTATATTGAAAAAAAAGAAGAAAATTCAGTTTACTTCATCATCCAGTTGGAATGAACCTGTGTAAGTCTCATCAAATGTTATATTATGTTTGTGTACCATACAAGAGTGTTTCATTGTGAGAAGTAGGACTAAGAGGTGGTGGTTCTGGGCAATGTGTGGAGACATGAGAAGTGAATTGTATCACAATTCAGATCCTTTACCAATTGTTGTTGTACTGAGTGAATTTGGTTCCTTGAGATTCATCACTAGGAATCAAATCTTTCAACTACCAGCAAGAAAAAAGAGTGTACTCCCGGGAGTAATGATAAGAAACCATTAACACTAATATTTTACTAACATACGGGAAAAGTATTATTAGGTATGGGAAAATGGTAGGAAAGTCATTAGAAGAAAACACGTTTATGATAAAAAGCGTCTGACTCTTCATTATTTTGGAAATACTGCAAACAATATTTAATTTACAAACAACTATTGTCTTTTATAATCTTGGGGTGATTCTCAGCATGCGATGTAGGATCCACATTGATTCATGTCACATCACGAGTTTTGTTTACTTAGCAGTTCTCAATGGTTTTATAGAGTCATGACTTCTTTGTGGTATGTGTACGTGTACAAAATTTGTTGTAAGTCTACCGCAAAGAAAAAATTTAAAATCAGTTAGCAGTAAAGGTATGTACTAGTTCCCATGCATTAGAGTGGAGAAATATGTCGAGCATCACCAACTTTAATATGATCAAACTATAGAGGTACTTGAATGAACTTATTATTCATGTAAATCAGAAGAGTAGTTCTCTGATGGGGAGTTAGTAGATGTGGAGTTTGTGTTGTGCTTGAGAACGTGAACGATTGGTAGAAGTACTAAGAAACAGTTTTTCAGGAAAGATAATTCCAGACGTCAAAGTGCTTTGGAGAACTAATGTTAATCACTGGGAGAAAGCACTTAAAGTATCAACTTAATTACACGCTCATTTAATTTCCATTAATATATCTTTCTTTGTATGCATGTAATATTTTTTGTTTTTGATTTCTCTTCTAGTATTCTTCCTCTTTTCCCTACATGTTCACAATCTGCCAATGACAATAAGAAGGAGCAGCCAAAAATGTCCAAAGAGGAAGAGGAAAAAGAAGTGAGTGATCTTTGGAAACATTTTTCTTTTCTTTGAAAAAGCTCTTTAAAAATTAATTTTTTTATGAAAATTGATGTGTGTATGTGATCAATATTATTTTTAAGTTTCTTTTCATTCTAATTCTTATATTATATGTATTCTTTTAAAGGGAATGTTGTATAGTGAACTGCTGAAGCTGAGAAATGATTTGGCAAAGCAACATTCTTACATGCCATACATGGTCGCTAATAACAAAACTTTGCTTGATGTGGCATCTTTAAGACCTAGCAACAAATCTGAACTTGCCCTGGGTAATATATTTCTTTGAATTACTTTATTTATGTAATAAGGCGAGGTATGCATGTAGGAATGAAGAATTATTCCTAATGTTTGGTAAGATCATCGTAACAAAGGTTTTAAAAATCATTCCAAACTTTTTTGAAATTAGTTACACAAACAGTAAAAAAATAACATGTGATTTCCCTTGCAAAATTCACTTACAAATTTCTATTAACCTAATATATTTTAAGTCACTGTTTTATAAAGGATTAGAAAAAATAAAATATCAGTTTTCAATACAGATGTTTTGTTTATTACAAAAATTATTCATCAGTTATTACTCCACCTCGCATACTGTGGGTAATTAATAGAAAGATTGTTTAGAAAGAATCTAGAGTATTTGTGTTATCCAATTATTTTTTCACAAGTCATAAAAATGTCATGTTTAAATATAATGCTGACAAAAAATATAAATATAAAAGTAAAGAAAAATAATAACTACAACTTGATTGCATATACATGTTGTATTTTGTCTATTTGTATTGTACACAGAATTTGTCTATTTGTCATTAAATCAAACATAAACTTCTTACTTATGTTAGGAGTGATGAATTGACTGTTCTTTCAATTGTTTTAGTGGAAGGCTTCAATGCAGCTAAAATTGAAAAATTTGGAGCAGCAATGTTAGAAAGAGTTCGAGCATTCTGCACTGAACATGGACTTGCCATGAAGAAGATTCCAACTTCCCAGACTGAAACTGCTTCTGTTAATCAAAGCAAACTTTCAGAGAACGAGCTGTCAGCAACTTATTCTGCACTTCCAGAGACTGTAAGAGTTTCATACGACCTCTTCCAGGTACAAGGAAGATCTCTGGCAGCTGTTGCATCAGAACGGTGTGTCTTTCTATCTATTTATTTGATGCTTGTTTTCTGCCTTGTTACATTGTCACATTTTAGTTGCTTAATTCTCATTCAAAATTGTTACGCTTCCATTTAATTCTTACTAGCGGAACCCTTATCTCTCTGTCTCCGTCTCTCTCCTCATCTCTTTCTCTCTATCTTTGTCTCTCTGCGTCTATTTCTGTCTCTCTCTGCGTCTCTGTCTGCTTCTCTCTCTTTCTCTCCCGGGCGTAATTTCATAATTGCAGGGGCAGAATATGCAAAGAAGATGCTCTTAATACTCATACTTCAGGGTGCGGTGAACGCTGCGTAGAACGCTCTGTTCAGGAGTGCTTGAGTCAGCATAAATTAATGGTCAATGCGCATCTGTGTGCACAGTATTACACACATTCCCATTGTACTATGCCTATATTCGTCCCACAAATGCAAGCAATAAGTTCATAATGTTTTATCTCAAACAGATGAACGGTACGGTAGCACATTAAGTACGAACCAACAAGCCAACAAACAAACATTGTTTTTTTTTTATATTAAATGTTATCCAACAGAGAACATTTACATCTTCACCAGAACATTGTTTCTGTCACCTGCCGTTTCTCTCTCATTTGTTTTGTTAGTGTTCAGACTTCTGCCCCATGGAGTATTGAACTCTTGATAAAGGAACTATAATCCATATCTTTGTCTTGGTTGAAGTAATTGAGTTCTATAGTACTTATTTCAACTGCCTTGTGGCTATTTTTCATCTTATATTTTTATTTTTCACATCCTGTTCTCTCTGTCATCTGTAGTTAGTGTAACTCCCAAATGTTTATATTGTGTGTTATCTTAAACAATTTCTGTACTAGTCTCTCAATCATGGGACATACCTTGGGTTTATACTAAAGTAAATCTTTCCCTTTTAGTAAGTGGTGGTCTGATCCACAGGAAGCACTTTTTTGTACTCAAACATTGCTTCACTTAATTGTTGACTTTTGTTTAGTAATTATGCAGTCAATTAAATTACTGACTGCGTAATTACTAAATAGAGTCAAAAGATTGAGGCAAACAAAATAAGAAAATTGTATAATATGAAATTAACAACTCACATTTTCAACCATTCCTAGGATAACTTGGAGTTTTATTATTATTATCATCCTAATTTTCAATCATCGTTGGTCTAATTTACTCTGTGTCCAGACAACATTATTATTATTATTATTATTATTATTATTATTATTATTATTATTATTGTTGTTGTTGTTGTTATTATTGTTATTATTATTTATATCATCATTATTGCCACCTTAAATGTCCATTTTGTTTATTATATCAAATCATCAGTATTCTGTGAAAAATTAATTAAATGTATTATAAATGATAAAATTTGTTTCTTTTGAGTAGCTTTTCATTATTTAATTAGAGTCTCTTTCGTATCTATTTTAACTTAGAAATTTTAATAGTATAAATTAAAAATTTAATGGACATTATGTTGTGAACTACTCTGGCTATAGGGCAAACACGTTTTTGAGCCTGTTCTTTAAATGATGAGAACTTTATGTACATTCTATTGAATATCTACTTTTCTCTTCAAAGAATTGTTTTTTTAGCAGATTGTTTTCAAGTTAATAGTTGCTTTAATAACTTATTCAAAAGAACTACATGTTCCTAAAAATGATTTTACATGAAATTTGATAATTTTGTGCCTACTTGTAACATATTTTTTTATAATATGTTTTGCAAAAATAAGTGATTACCATTGTTGATTTAGTTCTTATCAGCCATCCACTATTGGAGGACATTTGGCTGAAGCTGTTCGAGCTGGTCTCCCATTGGATATGAAGAGATTAGGAGTAACAGATGAAGTTTGTGAAACAATTGTGAGAGCCATTCGTTCACCCCCCATTAACTCAGGTACATATTTTACATTATTTTCAATTAATTCATGCAATTGGAATATCTAAAATTCTTTTATATATTAATGGAATGTGAAATTATTGTTTAGATGCTTAATTATAAAAATTATTTTTCTTTGAATAATCATAAAGAAGTGAAATTTGAAATAAAGAGAAAATAGTTGAAATAATGTGAGGGGTTATTATATAAAATTAATAAAATTATAAATATAGGGCTTCTGTTATATTTAGAAAAAGAAAATCCAAGAGGAAGATTTTCTTTGAAAACCTTTTTATTTGAAAATGGTTGGTTGTATTCGCTAGTGTGTGTTTGACTTAGTGAATATAACATATGAATGGTCTTCACTATTTCTTTGCCAGTATTTGACATTGAAAAACATTTTGAAACTCAAAAGCAAATGTTTTAACATTACAAATCATTATAAAAATCATGGTAATCTAGTTGTTTAGAAGAATTTGTGTTGTTTAAATTCTTTAAAATGAGAGATTAGGTCAAAGTTTACCTATTGCCAGGTTGTTAAAAGGGTTCTTAGGTAGATCCATGTTGCAGTTTAACTGATTTTACAAAATACACTTTTATTATTTTTTAAAATTACAGATATTTCACGATTGAAACCAATAAAAGACAATTGTCCAGATCATATCAATTATGAACAAATTAAAGTAACTCTTGCAATGTTGGCACGTAAGTATGGAATGAAAGACAATATTGTGGATTGGGGCACATCAGGCACACCTGATCTTGATGCATTCAGACATGTACCTACCCAAAAGAAGACTCTGTCAACAACAACAACAACAACAACAACAACTTCTAACATGAGTTCGCAGGTAATTTGATATTTGCAATCTACAGAAAGTGAACATTATTGCTCATTGTTATGTTTGTCTTGAGAGCAGAAATACTTTCCCCCCCCCCCACCACACACACACACACAAATCTGCGAAATTTAAAAAAGAAAAGTGATGGAAAAATAAAATCAATGGAGGCCCTGTTATCAATAATTTTGTTGAGGGAAAAGTGGAGGAAAATTTCTCCAAATTTTAAAAAAGGAAAACAATTGTATGACAATTGTTGTGTTGCCCACCACCTTTGCTGTCAGTTTTCTTGACAAAAAATGAAAACTTAAAATTGATTATAGCTGTTAAAACCCTGTAATCCACATATAAGATTAAATATTAGTCATTCTGGGACAACAAGGGAGGCCCAATGTGTAAATTTTAAGGATTATCTTTCTGTATATAAGTGACTTTTATAAGAGTTGTATAATACACATATACTGACGTCAGAATATTGGTATCAGACAATTGTTTCTCATCAGTGGTAGAAATAACAAATTTTATCATCTGGTGATCTGGGTGACACGGATTTTCCTGTGGGTGATTCATGGCATTGAAAAGACTGCCTAAAGAGAGATTCACTACGTAGGAAATAGTACTCTTGGAATGCTTTTCCTCCCCAAATGCCCTCCCTCCCCTGTTACCCTATTTTGTGGATTGTGTCAAGCTGTGCAGTCTCTGTCAAGAGCCCATTCAAGCTAATGTCTGCACCACGTTAGGTCAAGTGGGAACTGTGCAGGATTTGCCAAGATGTGAGGCTCATCATCGTAATGTCTCGTATTCTTTGTATTAAGCTTTTCCCCACCATGGAAATTTTTGTGTGGATCATGTGGACAATAGTGCTCCTTATGAGTTGAAGGCAACACGTCCATAGAACTTAGAGATTTTTTTTCCTTTTTTTCTTTTTAATTCTAATTGTGATGACTGGAAAGGAAGTTAATTTCAGTATGAAAAAAAATGACATTGTACTTCACGTCGAAAGTATTAAAAATATAAGATAAACTTGGATTAAAATTTCAAATAAAGATGTACGATCTCATTGTAGCAGTTCTCTTTTTTAAAACTTCCCATTAATAAGAGATCTGGGGACACAGATATTTCTCTTATGTGGAGGTTCTTCTACATTTATTTGAATGCAGAAATTATTTGAATAGCATATCTAATTATTCTTCGCTTTCCTTGCAAAACACAGATGCGCATTCACTGGGTGTCCTTGTGGCCTCATCGATCAGTATACCGAGTAACAAAATCTCAGCAACAGTGTTTTATTTTCTCCCATTGCGTTTTACTTTCTACAGTGCCATTCTTTTGAGATTGTCTGGACCATTAAAAAGTAGTGATCTGGATTGCCTTGCAAATCTTGGTGGATACCAAGTATACATCCATGAATATTAGGGGTTATAGATACCTGCGATATTTATCGCTTTTGCAACTTATTGATGAACATCTACATTCGAGTTTTTCACATGGAAAGGCAGTGTGAAAAACACCCTCAACAGGCTAGGTTTAATCTGCAAATATAAGATGACCCTCTTTTTTTGAATGAGATTCTTTTAGGTAAAAAAAATCGTCTTATATTTGAATAAATAAAGTATTTTATTATCTTGTGTGCATGTGTTTTATTTTATTTTTTAAAATTTTGTTTGTTTATGAGTACTACTTTTCTCCTATTACAGTGTTCTGAAGAAAAATATGTGAAAAAGTCAAATTGAGCATTTTTTGATAACAAATTTTTCTGCATACAACTTTCAAAATCTTCACTTTCAAAACGATAATGGTATTCCACCGCATTTGTTTCCTTTGCAACTGCCTATTTGAACTTGGATATTTTTGTTGCAGCTGTACACTTCAACTTCTGACAGTCAGTTTAAAGAGCAGAAGGCTGAGAAACGAAAAATGGATTTGAGTCAGTTTATGCAGAAAAGATTTAAAACTTTACAGGGAGAGGATGGGCAAGATGCTATGAATTCTCCAAATAATTCAGTAAATTCAATCAAGCATGATGTGTCTTCAACTCAGAAAAAAGATGTGCGTGTCCAAAATGTTCCTGAAGATGATAAGTCTGAATTGTGGGGCGATGATGATATCTTCAATTGTGTTGATGTACCTAGTGAAACTATTTTAGTACCTGACAATAAGAATCAATCCTGTGTAATAAATGATTTGCAGCGAAAACCTAAAGATGTGCAACAAGAAATGAAAAAGAAAATGAAGTCTAGTAGCTTGTTTAGAAAGTAAACTGAAGTGTTTTGGCATTGCAATTATCTTGACAGATAATTGTTGTAGTGGATTGTGTTTGAAGCAGAAATGAGATGTGACTGTAGGCAAATGTAGTGAAAAATTGTATAAAAAAATAGACTTCAAGACCATTTAGGTGAGGCTAGTGAATGTGATTTATCTTAATTGATTCCTTCTTATCATGGTTTGTGATCGTACTATCAACATGATTAATCGAAAAACTTCCAAGTGTAATAGTACAAGTAGTATTAATGTTCAAAACGGTCTTGTTGAATTTTAATCACAAATTTCTTGTCATTTTTGTACCTTCTTGAGTACTTTCTGATTTTGTATTAAAAATATGTAACAACATAATAGAGAAAAATGTGAATTACTTATGATCATACACTTACATTTGTATCATGCACTTGATTAAGATTTTGCATTTAATGATCTACAAGAACATTTGTGAATGATTTTTATAATTGAGATTGTTGAATCTAGTGTTTTTGATGCTCATGTGTAACATTTGCTTTTGATATGATATTATTTGTTAATTGAAGTTTTCATTTAATTTATTATGTAATTTTTTTTTCCCTTGTAAAGTTGTGTGTAATAGTTCTATTACCTGTGGCGAGAAGAGTAAAATAATTTTATTTTTCAATGCAGAAAATGTTTATATTTTTTAATTTCCAACATTGTTATTATAGTGTTCAATTACATTGAGGTGATAGTTGTATTTTTGGAACATGATTAAACTAGAGGTCCTAAAACAACACATAATTTCTTACCTGTACTTTCATGCAAAAGTACATGAAAAGTACTCAAATTTTCAAAAAATTGTACATGACCTTATTTCAAAATCTGTCTTTACAGAACAGAGTTCATTAAAGGCAAAAAAACAAACTCATCTACATACTTGTAGGAAGATGGTGGCAAAATTTTGAATTTTTTGCAATTTTTGAAAAATCAGAGATTTTAATAAAAATGAGACCTTCACCATTCTCTTAAATGTTCTTCACAATATCCAACAAAGCAATTTAATAAAAAACAGAGCTATTTTATTGAAAATTTGGGAAATGTTTCAGAGACTTCATGTCAAGTACCCTCAAAAGTAAAATATCAATTTGAAATTCAAGAGGCCGTGACATCAGCCAGATTCGTAGGGGAATATTAATTTTAATCAATATCAATATGAGTTTTTGTGGCAAAAATTCGCCGTTTTGGGGGCAGTATTACACAACTTCCTCTCTACTCTGTAGCGAGAAAGGAAAATTGTATCTTCACACTTGTAATGTAGAAAGACGTGGAAAAAATTTAAATTTTCAAAAAAGCGCGCAATTCAACGAACAGGAGATCTACACAATTCTCCTAAGCGTCCTTTGCTCCATCTTAAGGTCCAAATTTAGTTTTAAAAAATGCCTACGGCACAAAATCACAGGAGGTGGCTATGATCTTCCCAAGGTGGAAATAAGGCGCCGACCTATTCGTCGACTCTTACGGGGATTTTCTCTACCAGGTATCTCCCACCAGTGGGGCACCGCCTTGCTCATGACCCTCCTCGTGCAAGCCTCGTTTGGCCTTACGTCCGGGCGCGAAGTCTGGGACGGTATCGAGTTAAAAGGTCATGGCATTTTTTCTCTTCATCTCACATGTCCTCACAACCTTCTTCTTTGCTATATCCAACTTGCCCAAAATAAATTGCCGCTAGAGAGTTGGAGCGAGTATCAGCATAGCAATAGGTAATGCTTTGAATCCTTATTCCGACAGAATTAAATGAGCTTGAACAAACAGGTACGTGGGAGCTCATTTTAAGTATTTGGTTTAGGCAGAATAGTATCTGTTAAAATTATACTCTTTTACGTCATGTAACACTAAAAAAAAACAACAATAATCATGCAATTCAACAAAGTGGAACTAAAATCGAAAGCTATCGGCGAATCTTGACATTTATTAGCAGGCGTTGTGCAGGCCTGTTCTAATACTTGAAAAACCAATGTCAAAGATAAGCAGGTGTTAGAAGATACAGGACTAAAAAAAATCTGCTTCTCGTTCGACACTTGTATCTTTGGAGGAAACGGTCGGCATCTTTACCAGGGAAAAAATTATATTTGTTTCGTGAAGCGCAGATCGTGAGAGCAAAGTTCTCATTTCGTCCGGACGGGAGTGAAACGTGTAAAAACACCAAGAACACAGCATTTCAGGTCGCGTTTTGCAGAAGTCCAATCACTACGTATCCGGTTCAGGAAAAAATCCAGAAACTTTTTCTCAAGGACATACACGTTATTTAGAATGGTGAATTTGCATCGAGAAATGTCTGCTTCACGAAGAAAATTGAAAAACGTCCTCAATATGTCCTCAAAACGTCCGCACTTTTTTTAGTATTCCGCTTACATCTTGACAACAATACTCTTTCTCAAATTTATCTTCATATTCAAGATTAAAGAGAACAAAATACTATACGAAATTCATATTTTTCATTTATTATTTAGGAAATATTTAGGCGATACAGCACACCGGCTTCTCCTTAGGGCTCTAAGGCGGCGCCTTTCCCAGAAAAAAGTACATCGGGAAAAGTTGCAGAAAGTATTAAACTTTCAATAAATCGACTCATTTAATTTTTGCTTACCTTCAGCGCAAGTTTCGAGGAGGAATGTAGTATTAAGTCCCCGATTATGCGAAAGATAAAGGTTTTTCGAAAGGGTTGCATCGTGCACAATCGGGAGTCCGTCCGTAGGTGGTTGGTGCGTGCGAGGCAATGGAAGTTTGAGGAAAAGTCGAGGTACTGGGGGTTGGGTGAGGGCAGTGTGCTCCTATTAAGGTTTTGTTCGGCATAGTCTGCGGCTAAGAATACCGACCCTTGGATTTTTAATATTGGAAATATTAAAAAAAAATCTGTTATTTTTGCGTGGGCACAATTGTATCGACCATTATCTACCTAGAAGTTGTCTTGGACAAGAATTAAAATCCACGCACGTGCAAATCGGCTGTAATCTACATACCAAAGTTTTTCTCGTCCAATAAATATTTTGAAGAGTAATGTGCGTGGTAGTTCGGACGTGTGTTAATTCGCAACCTGCCGGCCGCCACTGCCGCCTTTATCTCGCGACGGCGCTCAAACTTCACTCGTGCTAGAAAAATACTATGGCTAATGAATTATTTGCATTGCTAAGTTACATGCGAGATCGATAGGAACGCGTGCACATGTGGAGGGTATTTGTAACCCCAGGCTTAGTTAACCAAAATTTGACAGTAAAGAATTTTTTCCCCTAGAATGTGCAAAGAATGAAAAAAATAGGTGCTAGTCTCATTTTTAACGAACTCTCTATATTTTCGAAAATTGCATAACATTAATACTGAAAAAAGCACAACAGTGATGATAAAAGATTATTTTCTTAAATACAATATGTTCTAAAATAACCAACAGCTGTCATTAGTCTCGTAAGTGTGGTGCATGTTTTTATCGCTTTAGATAGCGGTGATATTGCCCGGCTGGCTGACGAGATCTGGCGCCGTCCTCGTTGGATTGCAGGGAGTTTTCCCAACAAGGTATCTCTGACCGGCGGGGCACCGCCGAAACCGGGACAAGCTCTCGACAAGTGTGGTAGCGCAGTGCAAGTGAGTGTAAGCGTGTGTAAGTATGAGGTGAAGAAAGGACAAGAAAGAGGAAGGAAAGATCGCGTGCCGTGGCCTGTTTGTTAGCTCCGGCATTTGATTGGTGATGATCGAAGAAATCACGGAAAATGCCGATCAGAGCAGCAAGCCACTAGAAACATTCTTGAAACCGCGGCTGAATTCGACCTAATGGGCAAGCTAATGGCAAAAATCCTGCCACCATTGAGACACAAACCCTAAGTCATCTCGGTCAGAGGCACTGCAGTATCATCTGTTGATGCCCTGAGCCAACTTTGCCGATATTGTTTTATATTAAACGTTTTCATGAAAGTTAATTTATACTGAATTGGATGCAGCAACATCTACATATTGGGGGCAATGATTTGATTGTTTACACACTTCCTTGAAATGATAATGAAGAATTTTCGCCGAAGAATTTGTTCAGAAATGGATCAAGTCCATTGTTACATAAGGCAAGGAGGCTGAATAATAAGAAATGCCTCATTTTTTATTTCAATACACACAAAATGTTAATAGACTTGAAAACAATTGATAAAAATCGAATTTCAATGAACGAACCACTAACTCGAAGTTAGAGACATTCAATTATTGCTAACAAAATCGAATAATTATAAACTAAGTTTCGGAACAGTAATCATCAAGGGTAATGAAAAAAAAGAGACAAAAAATATGTATTGAACTGGAGACAAGTTTATTTGGTACAGTGAATAAATGACAATCGATACGCATTAATTGCGTGTTTGCGCTTTAACAAGTTTGCAGGATTAAAGTAGACACACTTTTGTTATTTTGTAGCGTCCAGTTCGATATGGTAGTACATCCACCAAATGTCACTCGACATGCAGCAGTCGTAATGGTTTATGATACATCAACGTCTTGTAAGAGCTCTGCAAAGCAAAACACAAAACAGTTGACTGAAAACGGGTTCAATCGTTTCGTCAGAAACGAATTCGGCATGGAATTTATGTACGACCAACTAGTCGTTCAAGAACAGCCTTCTAAAGTCTTTAACGGATAACTGGTTGTTCCGGGACGTCGCCTGCAGCTCCTGCGCGAGGGGCTGTCGCCTCTCACGCGTGCACGCGGCGGTGGTAGCCGCCCTTGACGCCGGCCTTGGCGCCCGCAGACGCCGACGACTGCGCGCTGGAGGACGCCCCCGCGCCCGCGCTGCTGCCGCT